CCCATGGCTCTGCCCCCTTCCCGCACCACGGGGCAGGGTGGCTGTTTGTTCCCGGATAGTGACGGGAGGGGAACCGCAAGCAACCAGCCGCGTTGGTATTAATCGGGAGGGGGGCGATTCAGCCCCCTCCCTCCCCTAAGGCCCCCAAGGTGGGGTCAGGGATGGGGCAGTCCTGGCCAGTGTGGAGAGCCCCAACCAGCCCCTTTTTCCTGCCTGCTGCTTAGCGTGGCAGCCTGTGGGAGAGCCCCGGGGACCCCAGCTGGGAGCACCCCAGCCAGCTTTTACCGGAGCAGCACCCCGGGGTGCCCTACTCCCTGGCCAGTGTATGCCAAGCTCATTGCTCCCGGTGTGGAGTGTGGGGCAGGAGTGTGTCCCCAATGTCCCCTGGAATGGGGGGGCAGGGACGTGCGGCACTGGGGCTCTCCACTGAATGCAGAAGGAAGTTGCGTAGCTTTTTCCGATAAAAGACTGTCGCCTAGGCCTCGCCTTCGAGTCTAGCGAAGACACGCTAATGCGGAGCGAGACGGGCGCTCCGGTCAATGCCGGTCCCCCTGCTTCCACGAGGAGTCAGGGAAGTCGAGGGGAGAGTGTTCTCCCTTTGGCTTCAGCAATGCAATCAACGCAGCTGAAGTTGTGTGTCTTAGTCGGACTTTGCCCTGTAGTGTAGACGTCCCCTTCGTCTCCACATGGGCAAGGCAGAGGGTGGGGCCAAGCCAAGCCATTCATGTCTGGACACAGAGACACCCCTTGACCACTCCTCCTCTTAGCCCCTCCTTTGTCCTCCTGAGGGGAGGGCGGGAGCTGGCATTGGCAATAAAACCAGCGGCAGAGCAGCAGGCAGGGAGAGCCGGCGCTGGAGGCACACGGCCATGGCTTCCCTTCCTCCTGAACGGGCCCCCCAAGCGCAGCCCACACGCCCCGCCTGCCAGGACCCTTCGGCCGAGCCGGTGAGTGTAGGAGGCCGGCCCACACTCTGTGCAGGCTGCTCCCTCAGCACCGTGAGAACTGGTCTGGGGTGGGGAGCTCTGCCCTGTGGGCTGCCCCATAGGCCAGGGCCAGATCCAGGAAGGGACCCCCCCCCACACACACTCTGCTGAGACCTGGCAGGGAAAAGCAAACCCCTGAGTGCGAAAGTGGGCGGAGGGGATGCGTAGGTGAGACTGGAGACACCTGGGGACTGGCTCTGTGAGGAGGGAGCCCTGGGCGGGGTTTGATGGAGACCCCCCTCCCCCCGGCACCGAGCACAAATCTCACATGATGCTGCTCACAGAGGAGGCTGCCAAGAAACACAAGGTAGGAAACGCTCCAGACTTAATTCCCCTCTTTCCTTTGCAGCCTGACGGCCAATCTCCCCGGTGGCGAGCGAGCAGGAGGGTCTATTGGGTGGTTGGTTGGGTTTTAGCCTCTCCCACCCACAGAGCCCCCTCCCCCCCAATTTCCTGCTATTTCTGGATCTGCAGCTCCATCAAAGCCCCCTCTCCCCCACTCCCATACAATCATAGAATACTAGGACTGGAAGGGACCTCGAGGGGTCATCAAGTCCAGTCCCCTGCCCCCATGGCAGGACCCAATACTGTCTAGACCATCCCTGATAGACATTTATCTAACCTGCTCTTAAATATCTCCAGAGACAGAGATTCCACAACCTCCCTGGGCAATTTACTCCAGTGTTTAACCACCCTGACAACTAGGAACTTTTTCCTAATGTCCAACCTACGCCTCCCTTGCTGCAGTTTAAGCCCATTGCTTCTTGTTCTATCCTCAGAGGCCAAGATGAACAAGTTTTCTCCCTCCTCCTTATGACACCCTTTTAGATACCTGAAAACTGCTATCATGTCCCCCCTCAATCTTCTTTTTTCCAAACTAAACAAACCCAGTTCTTTCAGTCTTCCCTCATAGCTCATGTTCTCTAGACCTTTAATCATTCTTGTTGCTCTTCTCTGGACCTTCTCCAATTTCTCCACATGGCAGGGACAAGAACGCCAAGCCCCTGGTGCCCCCGCCAAGCAGCCCTGCAGTTACTTAGGGAGATGAGGTCTCTAGAGCCCAGTGCCAGGCTTGAAACAAGATGTGTCCGTGCTACTGCCAGGCCAGGGATGGAAGGATCAGTTGCAAAAAAGGGATGCAGAATAAAACAGAGAATATCTTATTGCCTTTATATAAATCCATGGGATGCCCATATCTTGAATACTGCATACAGATGTGGTTGCCTCATCTCAAAAAAGATATACTGGCATTGGAATAGGTTCAGAGAAGGGCAGCAAAAATGAGCAGGGGTTTGAAATGGGTCCCATATGAAGAGGGATTAAAAAGACTGGGACTTTTCACCTTAGAAAAGAGGAGACTGAGGGAGGATATGACAGAGGTCTATAAAATCATGAGTGGGGTGGAAAAAGTGAATAAGGAAAAGTTATTTACTTATACCCACAATATAAGAACTAGGGGTCACCAAATGAAATGAATAGGCAGCAGGTTTAAAAGAAACAAAAGGAAGGTTTTCTTCACTCAGTGCACAGTCAACCTGTGGAACTCCTTGCCAGAGGATGTGCTGAAGGCTGGGGCATCTGGTATTGGCCACTGTTGGCAGACAGGGCACTGGGCTGGATGGACCGTTGGTCTGACCCTATATGGCCGTTCTTATGTTCAGGCACGGCCAGCAGGGCACCCACAATCCTAGGGGACCCTGGAGGCCTTAAGTCGGAGAGTGTTTACAGGGCTAGATTAAGGCTCAGGCAGTTTGGACCCTGCCTAGGTCCCAGCCTCTGATTCCATCAGAGCCTGAGTTTTCCTTAGCAACAAGATGCAAGACAGAAGAAAACCCTGAAATCATGACTCCGGCAGAATGAGCACAGCCTCTGCCTGAGTCTGCAGAGAGCCTGGGACAAGAGCTCACGCTGGGAGGGGACAGCTGCCTCACACACTGAAATGTGGTGTTAACACCCAGCAGAGAGCTCCGTGCGGGGGGGAAGAGGGGCGGAGGGTTCACGGTCATGGATTCCAATGCCCTGAATGAATTCCTGTGTTAACCACAGCAGGTCTTTCTGGAGGGGGAAAAAAAATCAAATCCTGATGGTAAAATGGTCGGTGAGGCAGAATGCACCCTCACTCCTGGTACGTTGTGCCTGGGGTTCACTACCCGCACTTACGGAGTGCTGTCTAACTCCGAAGTAGACCACATCAGCCCTTAACTCTCTCTGTGGTTGGAGGAAGAGCCTGAGATCTTTCGGTCTGTCCCTATTCGGCAGGTTTTCAACCAGTCTCCTGGTTCTTCTCTGAACCCTCCAATTTATTAGCTCCCTTCTTGAAAGGTGGACACTGGATTTAGACATAGTGCAGCACCAGCAGTAGCAGCAAGGCCAAGATGAAATAAATTCCCTATCCCTACGTGCAATCCCCGTGTTCTCATCCACGGATCGCATTCACCCTCACGGTAGGGCCTGACCTTGGCTTTCTTCATTCAGGAACAAATCCTCGCCCAGCTGAAGACTCTGGAGAGGGAGAGAGAAAAGCTGCTGGGATTTAAAGTGACCGAAGAGAGGAAAATCCAGGAGTACCTGGTAGGGCCTATTGTCATTAACCAGAAGTTACTTGGGAGGAGTCTTTATTTTCTGTGTGTGTCACTGCAGGGTTGGGGCCGAGGGTATCCTTCCTC